GCTGAAGAAAAATTCAGAGATTCTTCTACAATGCTTAGACAGTGGATGCCCTTAAAACTAGAAGACACTGGTGGATGCACCTTGCTATACGACTGGAAACATACCAGTCAATGATAAATATGACCCGCTCACTGGCACGGTGTGTATTCTGTCTGCTCTGCAAATTATTGTAGCCTTATGATCAGTTCATACCTGTGGCAATACCGCAAAATGTTGAAATGCTCCTTAGGATAAGGTCTTATCAAACACGGGCACTGAGATGTGGCAGACAGACGTTGCTCTCAGTCAAGGGACTGTACCTTAACAACTCCTCCAGCAGAGCAGATTTGAAGGAGGGAGTTTAACAGAAAAAGCAATACCCATCACATCAAGGGTCCCCAGCCCCCTCCAGCTTTTCAAGATTTTAATATTTTTCTCCTTTCTATATTATTTTCCTTAAAAAGTGCATTTAAAGAGGCCTTCAAATACATATCATGGCACACACAAACCGAGACTTTAATCACAGCAAGACAATGAAGAACAACGATTTTTGCCTCTTGTGCACAGGCATTTAAATAGCTGTAAGCTACAGTAATAGGCATTTTGCACACACTTCTAGCCAAACAGTGCACACAACAAAAAGCAATCATGACTATTTTTGCAAACTATGGGCTCTGCTTTGCTGTGCAGCATTACAATGCATTTGCCCCACAACCCTCATTCCCCAAACTGCAATGATGGCACCTCTGCTAGAGTCACTGCAGAACACGAGGCCACACTGGGGTACCCCAGCTTGAGAGGATGGCCACAGGCAGGTTGAAGGAAGGCACTGGGCATTGTCCTGCCCACATTCAGCGATGCACAAGCAGCAGCTGAGCACCAGAGGGGCCAGCAATATGGCTCAGCAGAGCTGAGGTCACAGAGCCACAAGGCAATCTTAACTCACAAGGCAAGTTTGGCTAAAGCTGCTCCGTCAACACTACAACGGAGAAAAACAATACCTAGCATTTAATATTACTCCATTGATGTCATTTGACACTATCATGATTATGAATATGCTGTTAAGTAGAAACAAAAAACAACATTCTTTTATGCTGTGAACACTCTTGCTGTAATTTTGTGCCCATAATACATTTACTATTTTTACACCACCACACTTAAGAATTTTAGGATTGCCTATGAAATACAGTTCCTTCTAGTTATGTTTAAACATGTCATCAAAAATCCATGGCATTTATCTACCACAACTCTACCTATTCAAGTTCTCTGACTGGGATCTGAATTATTTTCATTATTTAATTTTTTTTCAGAAAGCAATTTTCTAAATACTCATAGAATTGTCCAATGTTTTGTAGGAATACAGGCAGAAGCATTTATTTCTACACTCTCCAAAGAGGAAAACGAAAACATTTTATATGAGAAAATGTCACTGAATAGATATCAGTTGTTCTTATTCTGAGGGAGAAAAATCCAGCAATGTGAATTACTCAACACTATAGCTGTTTTTTGCCTTTCATCTCACTGACAGCATCAGTGACAGAATGATAACCCAAAAAAGAGAGAGAGAGATAAAAGGACACAGAGATACACTACAGCAACATTAAGCATACACAAGTTGAGTATTTATGTGCTGTGAGCAGAGGATGATCTGGACTGACGCAATCAGGAAAAGGCAATGCATGAAGGGTTTTTCTCTTTCTTATTAATTGATTATTCTCTTTGCTACCAGCGGGAATTTAGGCCAGTACTGCTGTAAAGGAGGGTGTGGGGGGGAAACACTGAAATAAGTCAAAGATCTACCTCCTTTTGTTTTTCTTAAGCACTGCATATTGCTGCTGGTTTAATAAGAATGTCTTAGGTGCTACCTAACTGTGCCAAATCAACAAGAATGTCTCACAAAGAAGCTTCTCTTCTGCAGCTGCTAAATGCTGGCACCCTGCAAAAACATGTGTAACGTTCCACCTTCACAATAGTCCAATATATTAATGAATTATGCAGCAATCAAATGCAATTCAACTTTCTCTTATAATAAAAAGGTGTGTTAAACTGAGAACTCTCCTCTCTATAAAAATCCCTTTGCTCCTCCAGAGTGGCATTTTTAGTGATCCAAATGTTTCTTCCTTTCCCTGTCCGCCTCTCCTCTCTGAAGCATCTTAAGTAATAGCAGAAGGTCCGTATGTATTTTACACCACAGGAAGTTTTATGGTGGGGAAGGGGGGGGGTGTGTGGAAAGGAGGAGGAGTGGAAAAAGTAGTTATCAACTCCGCATCCCGTATGAGCCCAGGCAGGCATCTGCTTCCTGGACACATTCATGCCTGTAACGTTCCCAGACTGCTGAGTGTACGTACAGCTGCCTTCCCACAGTGATTCAAAGCTCCTGCCTTCTCCCATATTGCTGATGGCACAACAGCAGCACTGACGATTTGCGTGTTTGTGCAGTATTCCTGCACTGAGGAATGCATGGGGGAAATATATATGTACCTCTCCTTATGTCACTAAGGAGGCCCAGAACAGAGGCCCCTTTTCTGTATAAACAGGCTTGCTTGAAGCCTGCAGCTGGCAGTGGATGGCAGACGGACTTTTTCTGTCACCATTTCTCTACCAAAGCACCAAGAGAGATGTTGCCAGACTGCCTCTGTTTCTGCATACAGCCAAAGACAAATTGCACAGAGGTGGGTAAAGAGCTGCTCGTTGAAGCAACTGATAGAAACCTGGCTCCTTTCTGAAATAACTCTTTTCCTGCTTAAGAATATCTTGCATAGCAGAGTGAATATTTTGTGATTTAATTATGTTGCACCCTTTTGCTAGCTATTTTTAAGTACCTAAGTAATCTGCACAATCCCTAAAATCTAGTATAATAATTGTTTTGTCTGTTGCATATTATAAGTACCAATTTAAAGGTGGTTCTACCAGTTACAGTAAACAGTTTCTACAGAAACTGAAGGTACTAAATCACCACCGTGAAAAATTCTTGTATTTGCAGTAAGATTTTCAGAACAACTGATATAAAACCAGAGTTCAGTTCTCAAATGTAAAATACATAATGTTGGGCTTTTCAAAAGTTGTTTGATGGATGGACAAGGCTCTCCAGAGCACTTACAGGTGCTCTGAAAAATATTGCTGGGTCAGAGGGAGCCATATTTATTTTTAAACAGCTACCGGGTGCTGAAATTAGCCCCACGCAGTGTCTGGCAGCAAAATGTAGGCAGCCTGTGCTCTTCCAAAAATCTTTTGATATCCGAACTTTTATGAAAATATTCCCATGACTGCAGCCATTGGGGTCTTCCGAACATTTTCCAACAGCAGCTGCTTCCCTCTCCTCTGATCCCAGACACTTGGTTGCAACAAAACAGGCAAAAAAATATACATCCCCCTTCCTAGCATGCTTCCATAGGACTGCTGAACTCCTGCAGCAGTGAGTGAAGAGGGAGCAGAAGAGCCTCCCAGGAGCCCCAGCAGCCCTAGAAACCCTTTAGAAGAGGCAGGAAGAGGGAAACATACCACCTGGGCAGTAATGCCCCTCCTTTGAACAGCAAGGTGCAACTCCCAATTCAGTCCATGTAGAGCACCAAGGTCAATGCAACAATGCTGGTTCTCTACTTAAAGCAGGTTTGAGAGTACTAAGAAAGACAGTGACAGCCATCCCTGAAGGTATGTCATGACCCTGCATGACAACTAACTGAAGAGGACCCTAGAGACTGGGAGATGTTTTGCACAGAAAACATTTTATGACCCTTTCTCCGAAAGACCTGATCCTCCCATATCTTTCCCATGCAATTAAACAGTACTTACATGAGAAGAGCCACTGATTTCAAATATTTCCTTGCTTGATTAAGGCTTACTCATCGGAAACAGATTTGTCTTAATTCAGTGATGGAACTCAGATTGATCAATTTAGCTAACTTGCATATATACCCTGATGCAGACAAATGGATTGTTTTGTTCTTATTAATATCAGCTATTATCTTTATTTCTGCTTTGACTCATATTCTGAATCTGAGTCAAGACTTCTTGACTGCAGAGCACGGCTGACTGAGAAATTAGTCTTTACAATTTAATGGAACACATATGTGTTTGCCTCAGTCTGATAATGTATGCAGACTATTATCAAAGAGTAAAAAGAAAGCACATTTCAAATTTGCAAATGCTAGAAAGGGATAAACCAAAGGAAACAGCTATCTCCAGCTACTCAGTGGCTAAAGGATTCAGCTGCTCAGTGGCTAAAGGATTGCTTAGTCCATTTCCACTTCCACTTTCACATTACAGAGGTTAACACATTTATTTCAGGGTATTTAGGTGATCTCACATTTAGTAAAAGACTTCTGTGTTTTTTTTAATAAAAGGTAAACTTTGAAAAAATTTGACTGCATATATTATATTCGTGCACATTTTATGTAATCTACAGCAATTCTATACCAAACATCTACAAAATACTGTCCTAACAAACAGAAGGTCCTCAAGAAAATTCTCCCATGTCGCATGGAAATAACAAAACACTTCTGCAAAGGCAGTGGAACATTTCACAGAAGACAACTGCAACAAACAGGATCCTGTAGCCCTCATGTGAACAAACATCCAGAGATAGCCACTATTTGAGACACTGACTAGATATTTTGAAATATTATACAATAAATATTGCTATTCTCAAACTTACAAAGAATCTCATTATAAACAACAAACTTGGGTTTTAGTACAATGAGGAAATGCTAGCTACCAAACCAGAAATATTTTCTTCAACAGGCATCAAAAGTAAATTATATTTACTAGGAAAAAGAACTACCATGAATGCATTTTTCATGGATACCATTTTGATATAAACATTAATGCACTAAATTTGCCACTAAAGTTTATTTGTCTTAAAGACCTGAAAAGTACAAGACATGAAACATGTCTGCCTCAGAAGAGTAAAACAAATCACCTGAAAAATTAGATACCTCTCCTTTCAAGAAAATAGGTGAGTTTGCATTAGCATCAAAAGCAAAGAAAATTAAAAAAGCAAAGCATAAAAACAAAATTCTTACTTTAACTTCCACTGTCTTCCCACCTTGCTCAATATGTCTCTCCAGATACTCAGAAGACAGCAGGTCACTGGAAGAAGAAGAAAAAAAGGACCATAAACCTTGTTGTACATGTGTTCTTGCACTCCCTCTCAGCAAGAAATGATTAAACATTTACATTAGAAAAGGGCAAAACCTGCAGGATACATTTCCTAAAATGTTCATAAAAATCACTGAAACAATCACCTCCAATATAGTTACACAGTGCATGGGATACATTGATTTTTAATAACAGAAGGCGGGCCAAGGAATACTAAGGGGGGTTTTCTTCATAGAAGGTTTAAAACCAGCCACTGATAATGGTTTTAATGCAAGAGACTTTCCTATTTGCTGCTAAAAACAGACAGTAAGGAAGTCAGGTGAACTTAAAAAAAAAAAAAAAAAAAAAAGCAGAAGAATGAGAAACCACTTGGAGTCACTTCTGCTGCAGGCTTTATCTGCGGGAAAATGGAAGCTGCCTCTGCCAGACTCCTAAGGACACAATGGCACAATAATGAAATGACCTTGTAATACCAACATGGTGAGCTCAGGATCAGGCTAAACAGGAGGCAAAGCCATCGGCCGCAGGGGCTGCACAGCTCCCTAGGCTCACGGCCAGCTCTGCCTCGCGTGGGCCCTAAGGCAGGCGGTGGGTGCAGCACAGGCCTCGGGACCCAGGGCAGGCCTCGGGCCCCAGGGCAGGCCTCGGGCCCCAGGGCAGGCCTCGGGCCCCAGGGCAGGCCTCGGGCCCCAGGGCAGGCCTCGGGCCCCAGGGCAGGCCTCGGGCCCCAGGGCAGGCCTCATCCCTCACACTCGCTCCACCCAGCAGCCCAGCAGCTTCAGCAGTGTCAAAGGGAAATGCCCTGGCAAACAGCAAGCCCAGCCTCAAAGGTACACAAGGATTTGGAAAAAACACTGAAGACAAAAAAAAAACAATCAGACCTGGGGTAAGTGTATATAAGTTAAATGCATGCTGTATTTACTAAGACACTTCAATGGTAAACCAGTAAAATCCTCTCCCTCGTAAATTAGTTTCTAGGCAAGCAAATCATCTGCTCCAGAAATTTCACTAAACGTTTTCAAAGACTGAAAAATTTTACTGAGATTAAATCTGTACAAAGATTTTGTATTGTCCCAGCTATGTTTTTATTAAACTGGAAAAGATGAAGAATCAGTAAAGAAAACATGACAACAGGCACTCTGACTGATGGGACAAGGAGGCAACGAGCACAGACCTTCTCAGCAGAAGAGGCAAAATTAAATGTTTCTCCTTCAAAGAGCAGAACGCCCAGGCTAGAGGCAAACTGTCCTGCTATGGGAGGGGAAGAGCAGAGCAGCACCCAGGGCAGCAGCCACTCAGCTTTCCAGAGCTTTGCTCTGTAAACGGGCAGCAGAGCCATGGACTTTTTTGCTCACATAGGCACTGGTGACCACCCAGCACGAGCCCCGAATAGGACAACATTGGTAATGTGGGTCCTTCCATATCAGCCCTACAAACTGCCAGTTTGGTATTTGCATTAATAACCCCGGCACAAAAACCAAGAGCGCTCTAACGAAATATGCTGATAACACCAAGCTGGAAAGCATGGGGAATAAAGAAGATGGAAAAAATTCCCACAGGAAAGAGCTGGATGATCTTCAGGTCTTGATATTAGAAATAGGATCAAATTCAACTGTACAAACAGCAAATTTATGCACTTAAGGGCTTGAGGGAATTTCTATTATGTTGTTTTGGAGGGCCTGATTTATAAGGAAGAGACATGACTGCACTTGTTTCTGGCAAAATGATTTGCCAAATCAATAGGGTGTCTTCCTGAAAAACACAACTGTCATCCCAGAATACATCAAAGAAGATGTATTTCCAGTCAAACTGAGGTAAGATTAATACCACTGTACAAAGGAGACCTCTTTTCAAATACTGCAGACAGGTACTGGGCAGCTTTGCTGAGAAAGTTCAATTACCTGGAAGCACATAGAGGCTCCTGAGATAACCAGAGAATGGAAAGCTCCTGAAGTCTAGTAAAAAATTGAGTTGTGACGGGATCTAAATGCACCAGAGTTTATACACCAAGATCTAAAGGTAGCTAATTAGGCTACAGAAGATGCTGGCACAGCCTCAAATGTAGATGGACTGTCAGTGAGTAAATGGAAACTGGATGTTAAAAAAAGACGTTGTATCTGAGTGCAAGCAACGGAGGCAACAAAAAGAGGGATGCTAATAAATTTCTGAATGGGAACATCCATGCGACAACTGTCCATGGAGGTGGGGGTCCCCTTGGTTACAGGGAGTTCACAGCTAGGTGCTCCTGAAAGCAAGAGGTCTCAGTGCACTCTCAGCAGCAAGTGCTGAACCTACCTTGTATCACCATGAGCACTCATCAAAATACTCAGTGTCAGAACTAACACTCATCAAAATACTTTTGGTGTCAGTACTGGCACTCACCAAAGTACACTTGGGAGGGTTCAACAAACCCATGTTTTTGCTACATTAAGTAGTTCAAGTCCCTTGTGAAGAGGTACAGTGAGTTCCAGAGCTGATGCAAGGGAGAGAAAACACATGAGCAACTGTAAACAGGGGAGGAAGAAAGGGCAAGCAACTCAGTCACTGCAGAACTGGCATGACCAGCTGCCCCCTCGATTTGCTCTCTAGGACCCCCTTAATTCTGATCAGGCCCATATACTGATGCTTTGCACAGCAGCCTGCAAGCGACCCATTATTGAGGAGCATCTAAAAGTGACGCTGTTTGAGTTACTGATTACAACTCTCTAATTCCTCTTAGAAGTATGTTGTGGTTTGATCCTGGTCAGAAGCCAAACACCATGCAACCACTCACTCCCCTTTCTGTTCCGACAATAAGAAGGGACAAATGAGCCAGGCTTGGGATTCGAGATAGGACCATGAAGGGTAGATCACCCATTATGGTCACAAGCAAAAGGCATCTATTACATACACTAACAACACTTAACAGAGTAGGACAGTGCCACAGAGTAGGCATTGCCACATCTTGAGAACACCTTCCCCCCACCCCTCCCTTCTTCCCAGGCTCAGTTCTGCTCCCGATATCTCTGCCTCCTCCCCACAGCGGCACAGGGGTCAGGAAATGGGGGGTGCAGTCAGTGCTGCTGCTTCTTCCATCTTCGCTGGGGGGAGCTTCTGGAACTTGTACAATGCAAGAGCTAGGATGTAACAGAAGAGGCCCGTAAGCTCAAAACCAATGAAGAGAGACCTTTCCTGGCACAGACCTTGATTACAGTGTGGAACCTCCTGACACAGACCTTGATTACAGTGTGGAACCTCCTGACACAGGAAAACATGGATGCTGAAGGTCTGTACTTGTTCAAGCTGGGAACGGACAAGTTAATGGACATAACTGAGGGCTGCCAAACGCACAAAAATCACAATAGACTTAGTCTTGGCGTTCTGGAAAATGGCACTGGGGAAGCCTTATAAGCTCTTCTTCTGCTCTTCTGCTTCTCCCTCAGCACCTGCCTTGGGCCACAGGGACAGGACAGTTGGCCAAGCACTGCTCTGACCTGACCTGACCTGGGTTGCTCTGCCTGCACCATGGCAGGGCTCTGTTTCTCCCGGGGTTTATGTAGAGTCCCCTGGCATCCAGCTCCAGAGTTGCCAGTGGTTTGTCAGCTGCTCTTCTCCCACCCACCACCCCTTTGATGGACATACCTAGGTTGTTCAAGTACTTTCAGAGTAGGCCAAGAGTATGATTCCTGAACAGGTCCATTTCGTCCTCCTGCTTGGTCCCTACTTTCAGGACAAAAGGGCTGGAAACTAATGGGGAGCTGCTGCCATTCCCTCACCTCTCAAGCTCTGTCACAGGTGCCTCAGTTCCCAAAATAAGCCTGGCTGGAAGGGAAATACCATGGGGTCACCAACCTCCACAGCTCCTAGAGACTGAGCCCAGAGCTTACAAACAGACAACAGGTCTGAAATTTAAAGACATTTTTAAAGCCTACCCTAAGTAACATGGCAGGCAGGATGTGTCTGGGAATATTTTATCAGCAGAAAAAAACACAAATGATGCCATGTTATGCTTTATTATTATTATGACTCACTGCACAGAAAATATCATAAAAAACACAACACTCTTGCAGATCCAATAATGCAATCAGTGCTATTACAAACTAAGCTACAACCTAAGAATTACACAGTCTTGGAAACTTATGCCAAAAGATATGCTTCTCTCATGAAATCACCTCATATGTGGAGTAATGTTTTGTCTTTAGTAACAGTGAGGCACATAACTCTGCAATCTCAATAAAACCCATTACTTTAAAACAAACAAAAATCTATAGTGAAACACTTGTGAAACACAATGAAAATTGAAGCAACATAACACTGAGGAATCAGTATTAAAATAATATGCATTTCAACATAAATCATACAACTCTTTGCTATGGTACAGATGAAATAGGAGTAATTTAGCTTGCCTGCCAATCCATCCTAAAAGCCCTCTGTGTCAGTTTAAGTAGTAGTTTTGGTATTAATTGTAAAGAAAATCTGCATGTGATAAAAAAACAGATTGTGAAAAAAAAAAAAAAATCTTAGAAACATGAGGGACGTGAAAATTACAGTGAAAAAAACATTTACACTATAAAAGATAATACTGCAGAATGAGATTTTCAGAAACATTCGCTGAGGCGTTGATACAAGTTCTTTGAAAAGGCACAGCAAAAACCTGCATATGTTAAGACCTAAAAATAAAACATTTCACAGGAAAGAAGCACATGTGATCCATAGCTTTTACAAGGAAAAATCAGTTATGCTAATAATAGCAATTCTGTTTTCAGAGGTCTGTTATGTTAAAAATGTACACAAATCAAGTAGCGGAGTTTTGTTTACAGCAGCACCATTTTTTGGAGCATTATCTTAAGTCACAACCATATGAGTCCATCTCATACAGATCCAACAGCATAAGGGCCAGAACAAAAAAATAAGCAGGCTCCTCTGCTCTTCCAGTTCTCCCAAACAGTCACAGTAACAGTACACAGGAGACAGCTGGGGGAATCTTCTTACAGAAGAGGGCCCCAACTAAG